TTTTCTCTCATTAAACATACAGTTATAAGCTGCCTTCAGGGACCTAATTTCCCCTCAGCAATCAAAGTCTTCTTTATGTTTTCTTCCATGCATGTGCTGGGGAACTTTTTAAACCGAAAGTAACACCCTGTGCAACAAACCTCTGTCATTCACTGGCAGTTTAAGCCACTCACCCCTGTGAGTCTCCTATAATCACCTCATTGTTCTGGCACCGGCAGGCTCACTTGGCTGGCAGCAGTTGGCAGCTAATGTCTGCCTCTCTGTTTTATTGTATGTAGGACGCAGCTGCCAGGATTAAAACTTCACTCTCATCCATCACTGCTCTTTCACCACTCACTCCAAGGACATTGTTGTAGTGTTCGTTTTAAGTAAGAGCTGCTACAAAAGAAAAATGTGAGAAGGAGAAAAGACTCTTTACTGTTGGATAAAGGTCAAATACAAATACATCCAACAATAAATCTTGAAAAACATGTTACACCTAGCCTGGATTAACTGATTTAAGTATGAATCTACTGTATTGTACTTTAAATTACAATATTAAGGATGCAAAAATCATTTGCTGGCACACTCAGGGTCTGAAAACAGTGTCAGAATCAGCTTTACTAACCAAGTATATGTTCACATAAAACTTGACTCTGAGCAAAGTGAAACATTTGACTGTATGTACAGATATAAATGTGTATTAGAAATATCTACATCAATAAAGAACAACAATGCAATGACATTTGTAAAAAAGAGGGACAGTAATGCAATGGTGCAGAGTGCAAAGGGTGCTGGAATAAATACGTAACAGGTTGCTTTATACAGCCTATAACATGTGGTAGGCTGATATGACAGCAATATAAACAGTATACACAGTGTGGTCAGATCTGTAACTGAAAGCGATGATAAATACATGTTGAAAAGAGTGTGTATTTAAGCTATAAAATATATCATTTATAGGTACAGTGGATATTAGGTATTGCATGGTTATTGCACAAGGATCCAGGGTGCGAAGGGTCTGCTGTGATGTTACCAGCCTGTTTCCTAACTCTGGGAGTCTATTCATCTTGAATTGAGGGTAGACTGGCACCAGTGATTTCTTATTCAGTCCTGATTGTTCAGTGTAGCCTGTTGCTGTCCTGTTTGGTGGCAGATACAAACCAGAGCATGATGGATGTGCAGAGAACTGATTGTATTATTGCAGTGTAGAACTGGATCAGCAGCTCTTGAAGTAGATTGATACTCCTGAGCTGGCACAGACTGTCTGCTGGGCCTTTTTTCTGGTGGTGTCTGATGTCCATTTTAGGTCCTGGGATATGGTGGACCAGAAACTTGAAGGATTCCACATCAGACATAGAACTGTTCAGTGAATGGGCTTATCAAACCTGCAGCCCACTTGATGGGTCTCTACAGTGTGCAGGACACATGTGGTTGTTTGCAGCCTTATTATACAGGATTCTGTCCATGCCTTTATAGCCTCCTCCACGGGCTGTCGAAGCTGCCTGAATTTTGATGCAAACTGGACTTTGTTCCTGTTGTATGTGGAGAAGGTTTTACTCCATCTCCCCACAGTCTTGATCACAGGCTTAGCAGATTTAAGTCTCTGGAAAAGACTGGAAACAGAGTCTGCACACTGGACTATGCTTTCATAAATATTGAATTCAATTACCACAGAGGTGATGTTTTGATACATGTGAAGCGTGAAGCTTGAAACATCACCTAGGTGGTAATTATCAAATATTTATAGGAATTTAGTCTAGTGTGTAGACTCTGTTTTTGTAGTTTGCATGATCTCTCGTACAGTACCAAGTGCTCATCGTCCTGATGTGCATGCTTTTGTAAACTTTTTGTAAGCTTTTAGTTTCTGTCTGTAAGTCTGGAGAAGATAAAGCAGACCAGGGAGTCCCAGAGCTGCACAGTGTCTGATACACGCCCTTTAATGTGGTGTAGCAATGGTCCTGTTTGTTATCATTCCTGGTGGGACACTTTATGCTGTCTGAATTTTGGAGGTTCATGGCTGCGGTTAGCTGAAAAGAGCAGGTTGCAGATAGGTATATTTCATAAATGATTCCATTGCCAGTTTAATGACACGTGAACTTTAATATACTTTTGGGCCATGATGAAAGTCTGCATTTTTTTTCCCGCTCGCATGGAGTGGAAAAATAGATGTCGGCTTTGGAGTAAACATTCAAATGGACCATAACCTGTTATTCCATAATGAACTACAATATTCGATTTCATGGTATTGCATCCCTGAGACAGAGCAACTGAGTGAGTAATGACAAAGGAGAGAGGAACACAGTGATACAAGGTGCTTTACAGAAACATCATTCATCACCAGGCTCTCTGTAACAGCTCAGAAATACATACATAACATTATCACCTTGATATTTGATGGCTAGCGGGGAATTAGGCCCCTCTGTGGTCCACTGACCCCACGCATAATGTCACCTTGTAGCATATTGTTGTTAATGGTGTGGTGTGGCCATTGTAAAGCCATGTCCACTAATGTAATGTAAAGCAAGACTGCCTACAGTCTTACATATTTATTTTTGTAAATCATGTTCATTATATACTATTTTTCACTTTTTATTGCCTATTAATACTGACTAAATTCTGTATATTGGGCTTTAATATGAAGTCCAGTTTGCTGATTTAAACCAGTGGTGTCAAACACACGGCCAGAGGGCCAGAACCAGCCTGCCAAATAGTCCAGTCTGGCCCAGTGGATGAATCGTACTCCATTGCTGCACTTGTGGAAGAGGTACCATGGTCTCAGGAGCAAGATATGAATATGTAAATTGCTGCTCCAGAGGCTTCACACCCTGAAGAATACAGTTCTCTGATAAAACAATGATATTTAATTTATTTACAGGATATTTAAAATGTACAAAACACTTTCAATCAGCATTAGCACAGACGAATCAGTATCAGACTTCTGACTTAAAACAATATTGGTGGAACTCTATTACTAAGGAACTGCCCAAAACCTTTGATTTGCAAGTGATTTCTAAGGCAGGGGATAATTTAAATTGCTTAATTTTGTTATTCTAAGTGCACAATTTTTTTATTCACAAACAAACTCTCTAAGTTGCCTCCTGATTTTTTATCTTTTCTTTGAGAATTTAAGTCATTCAGTTTGTTAAAAAACAAAAAGCATACCAAGCTGGAAAATTATGCATTTTCCCCCTAACGTCTCTGGCTGAATACACTTTTTTCTAAGTATGCTTTTACCCCCGTTTATCTTCATTTTGTTTCATTTTTTCTTTTTCTTTTTTATTGTTGCGGCTGTTGTTTGTCCTTTCTGGTTTTGTTTGTTTATTATTATGCAATTGTCTTGAAATAGCCTACTGTATTTTATATCTATGTGTACTTGTACTTGTACTTGTATCTTCTATTAAGACCTTATTTCTTATTTTAAAAAGCACAGGTAGTCACATGTGTGTCCCCTCCAATTAATGAGTAGAGAAAAGTGAAAATAGACATTGATTGAGGAAATTGCTGCAAGGAATTAAATCATACAATCAAATCAGGGGTGGACAAATATAATTGTTTTCTTCATTTATTCATTCAATCTTGAGGCTAATTTAATTAAATATTGGTCAAATTATGTGCAGAACTGAAATAGTGTAACAAGTATATGACTGTCTACTCTCAGTTTTCCAGTCAATTTATGCAGTATCAAGACTGTTTAGGGACCCTGGTGTGCAGAAATATTGAAATACACCATTTTGAATAAAGTACCTTTTCCCTTGCCAAAATTTAGTGTAACAAGATAGCATAATATGGTTGGTATCAGTGGATGCCTCAGGCCCTCTAGTTTAATATAAAACCTGTGTCTTCACTGTAGCTTTAAAGCTGAGTATCAGACAGCACGTTGAAATGTGTTTTCATTATAAAATTAAATTTATTTATCATGTAAATACATGAACTCGTCTTGTCAGTGATTTAAGTCAGTAAGTATATTGTGGTACTTGATCCCATTTAAGGGTCAAACATATACCTTTTAATGCCCCCCCCCCCCTTGGCTTTGGGCCGGGGTCATCTGTACCCTTTGACCCCCCTTGATAGCGAGCCTGCTCTTCACATACACTTATATCATACTAATTTGGTTATATATTTTGTTACATGTCCTCATTCATTCATTCATTTTCTGAAACTGCTTATCCTGGTGGGGGTCGCGGGGGGGCTGGTGCCTATCCATGCTGACACTGGGTGAGGCAGGAAGCCAGTCTATCGCAGCGGTAACATATAGAAACAGACAACCATTCACACACATTCACACCTACGGGCAATTTAGAGTCACCAATTAACCTGCATGTCTTTGGACTGTGGGAGGAAGCTGGAGTAGGCTACCCAGAGAAAACCCACACTGACACAGGCAGAACATGCAAACTCCATACAGAAGGGCTCCCCCCACCCTGGATTCGTACCAGGAGCCCTCTTGTTGTGAGGCGACGATGCTAACCACTGCATCACTGTGCCACCATTTTTACATACATGTGCTGTCATTAATTATGATGTTCTGTACATATTATTTTTCTCAATTAAAAAAAAAGTGTGGAAAAAAGAACTGAGGCATACTACTAAAACAGCACATATATTTTTGAAGACATCTCAAGCTGCAAATGGATGAACATTTTCAGAATAGACTGGTACTTCGTTACACTAAAAGAAAGGGAAACATTTGGAGGTGTTGTTACTTATGGATTATTATGCAGTGGTTTTACTGGTCTGGCCCTCTTGAGATCAAACTAACACTTTACAGCCATGCTCCTTTAACATATCTAAAGTCACATAGCTGGTGTGTATGATTTAATTGGCGGTTGCATAACGTTAGGTAAACACTGTGTCCTGTCGGGCTTGCTTTGCTCTCTGAGCCATGAGGCTGTGCCAGTAGCTGGCAGCCAGCTTTATGTGTCTGTTATTGTGCAGTGCACTTCCTGCTGGCGCTTTACAGTTTGAACACCTTCTCTGATTGGTGGATTTGGACCAATGAATGCAAAGAGCGCCGGTGACGACAGGTTTTTGCGCGAAGGTACAGATGTTGGCGGTCTGACTCTGAACAGAGGCGAAGAAGAAGAAGGAGGAAGGCTACTCTTCACGCTGAGGCACTTGACGGTGAGAACAATGGCTTTATGCTAATGTTAAACCAGGCTTTCAGAGCACTCACACCAAGTGTTGGTAGAGTTAAAGGTGCATTTAGACGCTTATTGTATCTTAATAAGGTCTGTTCAGCATCTCTAAAGTCAGTTGAACTAATTAACGGACTTTGTTGTTATGGCCGCTGTCCAGGACCGTTAGGTGCAATTACGTTACGTCAAAATTCAAAAAGCTTTTTAACATTAGCTTTAATATATCCAACATTTATCATTACATCGTGCAATACTACAAGGTGGTGAACTCATGAACACCATGAACATGTACACCAAGCTTGACTGTTTATATGTATTGTCTTGAGTCGACATTATGTAAGCTAATCATTTGAAATGACTTTAGCTAGCTTGTTAACTTTACTGGCTGCGTCATGAATTTATTTTTTCTTGCTCTACATCACTATTATAATATTTCTTTCTCAAAGTGTGCCTTTGTGTTTCAAGTGTGTATATTTACAGCATGTCTACTACCCCTCCCCCGCCATTTTCCAACAACACATGCATAAATGAGTGCACCCTGCAGCTGTGTGCACCCAGAGACACCCTCTTTTACTACACTGGTGATTTACTCACATCACCATGCACACTCCTCCACTGTGGGACTACCACTTGCTGATATTGTACTTTTAGTTCAGGCACCAGAGAGGTGGAGAACTTGTTGTTCCTGACAAGTCATGTCATGTTGTAACTGTAACCTGCCAGATTATGTAACTGTATAATGTGCAGCATATATGCAGCTATACAGCACCCACTCTTGGGTATACCTTATGCTGACATGATCAGTAATTGCATTCATGTGTCATCAGATTTAATAACATAAACATACATGGAGGGTGAGTGAAACAATGTGTGTGCAGGAGCAAGAGTAAAACCTAACTGTTTTTTTTTAAAGGCACGCTCGCATGCTTGATCGATTAGCTATCAAAACATGAGCTGTAACTGTCAGCTCCAGCACCATCCTGCTGAGAGGACATGGGTATTGTGCAAATATGGACAATTGCTTATCTAGTTTGTAAAATGAGACATGTGTTGCTTGATAATAATCTTTTCTTTAATGTTTTCTTCTAGTGGTATAAACGAGGCAACATCTCTGCTGAAATGGAAAGCTGTGGAGGTAGGTGTGAACTGCACAAATTGTTATTTATTTGCGCAGTCTTTGCATGCAGTTGTACATTAAATTAAAGTTAAGTTAAAAACATTTTACGATGATAAATGCCTTTTTGTAATTGAAATGTATGGCTTTAAGACTTCAGCTTCTTACGTTCAAATATTGGCAGCTTTACACACTCTCCCATGACGGTGAACTAAAACCCTTTGTTGTGAGTACGAAACAAGACATTAGATGACATAATTTTGGGGTTTGGGAGAGGCAGACCGACATTTTTCATAATTTCAACACATTTTTCGATGAATTATTAGTCGACTATTGGAAGTAATAATCGACAGATTAGTCGACATTGAAAATAATCGTTAGTTGCAGCCCTACTTAAAACCAGGAAAACTCAACTTGCTCTGCCCAGGGGACACTTTTGCATAATGACAGGAGGCAAAGAGGCAGTTAGTGAACAGACATTGATAATCAATATAAAAATGATTAGCCTAAACCTCTGTTGGGATGTAAAAAAAAAAAAGTCTTTTCATTTTTTGAACGGAAAATGGTCGGCTGGCCACCCAGCACCTTATCATGAGAATTTGCCTTCCAGCCATAAGTTGAGCATCACTGCTGTAGATTAACCTAAAGCAAAAAATGTCTCCATCTAACTGCTAACCAGGAGAGCTTCTCACCAGAAAAAGTAGTGCAAAGCAAAGTCTCTATGTCCTTAAGAACTCTGAAACCACCTGCAAGACTCAGTCATTCAAGTAACTGGAGTCCTTTGATGTGGTCGGTATTGCAAGTTGCAGAAGTAATCTGTGAAGCAGCGCTCATACAATATTTTAAAAAACTGTCTGTTTTGTCACATCTTGTTTTCATTTCCCCTTCATTGGAAACGCAAAATGCTGCCTCACAACAGGGGTTATTGTTCGCCTGTGACCTCTCAAACAAAGCAGTGACCCCTGAAAAGCCAGTAGGAGGCCGGCTCGACCTCCACTAATTATCCTCAGTCTGCCTATGAATCTCAATGGAAGCAGGATAGTAGAGGCGAGCTGCTATAGCTGAGCAGTTGTTTGACATTCATCAAGTAAAAAAGGCTGATATTGGTATTGATATAAATAATTCTATGTTGTGACTTTGACCTCTGACCTCACACTCTCGCACATCTGCAGAAATCCAAGTGAAGGAGCTGAACAAGCGGGCTTCTGGTCAGGCATTTGAGGTCATCCTGAGCCCCACATCTCCAGATGCCAAGAGCGAATTTCCTTTGTCCCCTCTTAAGAAAAAGGAAACATCATTGGATGAAATTAAGAGGAAGCTGGAGGCTGCAGAGGAGAGACGCAAGGTATTGTTGGAAATAACAAACTGTTCCCAGGCTGTAAACAAACTACTGCATGGATATTTTTAACTCAGCTATAAAAATTTGAACATGGGTTTAGGATTCAGGTTCTTACTCCAAAAGTTTCCTTTTGTCATTTTGTCAGAGCCAGCAGGCTGAAGTGCTGAAACACTTAGCTGAGAAACGAGAGCACGAGAAAGAGGTCATCCAGAAGGCCATAGAGGAAGACTCCAACTTCAGCAAGATGTCACAAGAGAAACTCAATCAAAAGATGGAGGCTAACAAAGAGAACCGCAATGCACGGATGGCGGCTCTCGAAGAGAAATTCAAGGAAAAGGTAAATCTGCTACTAGCACATATCTTCTTTATTTTAATGTTGAACCAATGAAAAGCACAGTGTTTTGATGCTTCTGCTTTTAAACCAACAGGACAAGAAGCTTGAAGAAGTGAAGAAGAACAAGGAGGCGATGAAAGTGGAGAATTAATTTGTTTGCTGGAAAACAGTTTTCACATTTCCAAAGATAAGCTTTATTTTTCTAACTGACACTTTCATGGTTGCTTGTGTTAGTTCTGATTATGCTGTTAAAAGCTGGTTATACGATGTTAGATTAGGTGCGGGTATAGTCTGACTTAACTTTGCTGGTAGATTTCTTATTGGCAGCTGATTAGACCAGTTATTTTTGGTACAAATTATATTTTTTCATTAAGAGGCATTCCACTGTTACAAACTGGTCCTAATACTTTATACTGTTTAAATGCTTCATACAATAGTGCTCTGTACTATTGATAATGTTGCATGTTTGAATATACTGTACAATGTCACGTTCAGCCATTAAAGTCTGTAAACAATGCCACCCTTTTCTGTTCTGATGAGTGTGTTGAACACATCTGCTCTTTATGAATATTTAAAATGAAATTATTTTACATATATACCATGTGATGAATATTGGCAACTGGAATTAAAGAGATAAAGAGCAGTCATATAGTGTATGATATCGTGTATTAGGTAATACTGTGACACTGCTGACACCTAGTGGTAGTCAGTGGTCTTGGTGATAGTTTTGCAATAGTTGAAAGTAGTGATTCCTAAAGGCTCACAAAATAAATCTGAGGGGGGTTATCAGACCTCTTACACCCTATGAAAATCCTTCAATTAAATATTGTAAGGGGTCACACTCCAAAAAGGGTGTGAACCAGTGTTTTACAGGATCTAATAAATTAAGTTGGAAGGAACATTTCATCCCTGATACATGATAAATCTATTGTAAGATTTGGTGTTTTTCAAAGTTTAAAATTAAGTGTGCTTGAATGTACCTTTACTGTAGCTTGTTGACTTCATGATCTGTTATTGCACAGATATGGGCACACTCAATACACTCAATACACAAACACCAGTGGTGTAGTGGTAGTTGTGTTAGTAGTGTCCTATTGAGCAGATGTGTATATGTAGGTCACCGAGGAGGAAGTGGGTATACTCTCCTACATATTCCAGTGGCTTTTTTGGCTACACTTGTGTACAAACACTTGCGTATTCATCATTTTGCACTATGTGAATTACACACATTTTCATTGCACAACACAAGTAGCCTCTGAATATGACAAAAAAGTTTTTGCAAAGAAAACTTTCAAATGAAAGCCGCTGCCTGACTGCACTGCTGTTTTCCTGTTTGATATAGACAGGTCAGCTAAGCCTTCATTTGGGAATCATACTACATCATTAAAATATAATGATGTATATTAAAGTGTATATTCTACGTCTGCACTGTCAGTATTATAACTGATGCAGTCAGCGTAACATCTCATAATGTTTTTTGTGAATAACTGTATCTCTAAACATTTAAATTTTTAAAAATGATTTAAATAAACCAGGGAAAAGATCAAGTTTACCAGGACATAACCTCACATACAACTGATAATAGGTCATAAGTAGACTTTGCTTCACTGTAACCACTCTCATAATGATAATATCATATGGTAATAATAATACACAATCCATGGATTTATATGCAGTGTTGGAAAAGCTACCAGTTGCAAGCTACCAATTATTTCACACCAGAAAAAGATGGACTATAAAGCAAAGCTGACCTCGGGAGAAATCTAGTTTGGTTAACTAAAGCTACACACAACAACAACTTCTCTGAACATTTGTTAATAAGTTACAATAATCAATGGGCTACTTATGACTAATTGTGATCAAAGGGTGGGTTCAGTCTCTCCTTTTATGGCCCCAAAGTGGTTGTAGTTTCAGTAGTTAACTACACAAAACATTCTGAATGTAGTTGATCAACCAGCAAGCTACTGCAAAATGTAGTCAAACTACTTGTTTAATTACGTGTAGTTCACTACTCCCCAACACTGTTTATATGTATACTCAATGTGTAACCATCACTCTGTTGTTTATAGCTTATTCCTCCTGAAAGTGTTAATGCATGAAGCTGTGGCTCTCTCATTTGTAAGCGGTGATATCATCATGCATAAGCAGCTAAATGGGCCCAGCACTGACTGTTACAAGTTGCCAGAGTAATTACATTGTCACATATTCATGTAGAGAACATGGCTGCTAACAACTTAAGAGTTCTTCAGCTCTTACACTGCTATCTACGCTAATCTGTTGCACATGTTGAGTCCTCAATATAATTTGAGTCCTTAAAGGAGGTGACATTTTGCAAATACTGTATAAATGTTTCCTAAAGCAGTTCATTGCATCAGAGGCCATATAGACCACAGACAGATATGAGGCAGCACCTGCATGCCACATGAGCCGCTAAGTTTTGTGTGAGTCATCAGAAATCTTATCATATGGGTTTGTTTACACTTACCAACACTGCATGCATCTTGCACAGACTTGCAGTCAGTGTCCTGTCACCCATGTTGGAAATGTCACTCAGTGCCAAGTGGCATTCGTTCAATGTTGAGTACAGAGCAGCTGTGTGTATGTGCTCAGCGATTTTCCTAAAGCTGCTCAACCTGTTTGATTGTTTAGTTTCCCAGAGCATGTTTGGATATCAGGATTTTAGTTTATTCACTACAACACTGGGATGGGCACTGAAGACTGCTTATGTATAGGGCCAGAATTTGGAGCTATGCCCCTGCGAGCAATTGAATCACAGCCACAAAGTGCACTGTACAATGCAAGGAAATGTTTCCACATAGCATCCATGAATCAGCCTCTTTCCTCAGCTTACATGAAATCGAAAGAAACAATTCTACAGTGCTGTTTTTGATAAATGCTACCTGAAACAGAGCCATGCTATTACATATCATAATCCCTTTCACTCGCGTTCGATTGTTTTCGGGGTGATATAACACTGTGTGCTCATAGTATGATAATGTTTGTAGAGGCGTATCATACAGAAATCTACACACAGTTGGTTGTGTTTGGACTGAGTCTGTATAGCTATGCACACAGACAGTGCTGCACAATCCCATCTTTGTCATGTGTAGGGAAGAAACTGCTGAACTCATCAGCCCAGAAAGCTGCTTGTCCCATAGTGCAGTGTTCTTCCACCAACAACACAGGGAACAATGGCTGGCTCCACTCCAAGATCCCTTTTCTTAGCCTGTGCTGGACCTTTTGGAATCTTACTCATGATCATGACTCTTCCTGGCTTCACCAAGGTATATCAGCACCAGTGTGATCTGCTCTGTTCCACAATATGAATCATGACTTGAGCTTCTGTTGACAGTTTTCGCTCTCTGAAGTTGGCCTTTTTTAGGTTAAGACACAGCTCATCCCAGAGTGGAATAATACCCAGGGGCCGTGTTCAGTGTTTCTGCAGACATACCCTGAATCCAACTCTGTTAGTTATACACACTACAGGATGGTTGGAATCAGGAAACAATGCAGATCATTCAGAAACACTGAGTCTAACAAAGGAAACGTTGTCAATGAATGCTACACAAGGGGAAGGCACTGGCCATAAAACTGATTTGAACACACAAGTCAAGCAGGCTCGATTTGATAACCAAATGAGATCCAGTCAGTTTATCACTGGATGTCAACATTGAAGCTAAAACACTGACAATTAAATATTGTCCACTTTAGAAACCCGCATGACACCATGCCGATTCTATTGTTGAAGTAACCCTTATTTGAAGGTAGGAACTTTAAATTTGTATTTTATATCACAACTTTACATCCCAGTTAGTTCTCACGGTTTATAGAAAATGATGCATATTAAAGAGTAGTGTGTACACAACGGGAAGTCCTCTTCAAGTTTTGTTCAATTATTTCACCTTTATTCTTCTTGTTTTCATGGAGCAGCCCAATAGATACAACATGATGCATGCAGGTGAGATTTGTAATGGTGGAATGTAACTGAGTACATTTACATAAGTACTGCACTTAAGTACAATTACTTGAAAATTTCAATTTCATGCTATACCACAGTTTTAATCTTCTACATTTGAGAGGTAAAGAATATAATTTTACTTGACACTTATAGTTACTAGTTACATTTTGCATGGAAAAATGTGGTATGCTTATATGATATGATGCAGTAGTATACTACCAGTCTAACCAGTGGTACACAGTGTGTAGGACTGACTCTGTATTAACAAACTACAACATTTAAATGCTCTTTCCTGTATTTGTTAGTGATGAAAAAAAAACACTGTAATAATGTGTAACACTTTTAAAGGAGCCACTCTGCACACACTTTAAGTACATTTTGCTGATAATACTTCCGTATTTTACTTAAGTATCCCTGTGAATTCAGGGGCCAGTTGCACAAAACACCTTAACTTAAGATTTTCCTTAAAGCCCTAGTTAAGGTTTCTATCAGACTGGAGGCAACAAAGAAAGGGCTCAGACGCAGGACTCAAAAACACAAGGTCTTTTTACTGAAAAAGGGGTCGGAGCACAGATAATCAGTCCAAAAAATACAAACAAAGCTATCCTAAGACAGTAGGATTCAGCAGGGTCAAAAATCTGGTCAAATCCGAAGAGAGCACGGTGAGAACGCACACTGGCAACAGACAAAGGGCAGTACAAGGAGTAAATACATAAGTGAGGAGGGGTAGTGTGGGACAGGTGACACCAGCCAGGGTGGGGCGGGTAATCACACAGGAGGGAAACACACAGGGGCAGGAAGTAAGGTGCTTGAAATGAGAGACAAGGGTGAGTATCAAAATAAAACAGGAAATACTGACAAAAACTGAAAGGAAAACATGACCTTAATGGGGACCTCAGGATGTAACAGTTTCCTTAAAATAAATCAGTTGCACAAACACCCTTAAGTCTTGTCCTTAAGGCTTCCTTAAAATGGTCACCTCAGTATTTATGGTTTTCTCCTTGTGTTGGTCTTATACTTAAGGAATTCCTTGACCGTTGCACAAAATACCTTAGCGACCAAAGCAAAGTGAAAAAAAAAAACTTGAGGTACCTCTGACTCTGTCTTAACTGCAATGTGACTGAGTTTATGGTTGGTCATGTTTGATTTTAGACTAAAGATCTGACTGAATTAATTTTAGTTGCAATTTCTTCCGATAATTGTTTTGTGTTACTTGGGGATCAAATTTCCTTTGCAGTATGTGGTTTTTATGATTGCATTCATCCAGAGGTATAATCTCTTTCTCCTCTGACCATTATTCTTATCTCCTTTTCTTCTGCCATTTTTTTTTACTATCTAACTATAAGCCAACTTTGTGAGATGATAACAGGTGTCAGAAGTGTGAGTTCAAGCAAACAAACAATCTCTATGGAAACTTGTTCCACTATGAAATCTCTTTCAACACAGTAAACGAGCTAATGTTTTTCCCCTAACTAATGAAAACTTTTAAGGGATTCTGTGCAACTGTGTAAATCCCTCAGCGAAGGAGAAATTAAGCCTTAAGTGTCATACTTAAGAAGTCC